AAATTATATTCTTAAGACTGAAAAATTTTGCCGATGTCGCTTGGTGAGATTTCCGGTTGAAAAATTCCCTCCTCACATGAAGGAAAATATTTGCTATTCTTGGAAACCAGTGATTATTCGGGTCAGTACAGTCCCAGCGATGGAGATATATAACATTTAATGATACACACATTTATATTTTGCATTCTAATATATCAATTGATTTTTTTTTAAAATTGCCTCTACTAGATTTCTAATAAACAGTCCTTAAAATATCGTTGAATGGTATTTCATGGTGAAATGCTTATTGGTTCCTGCCAAAATTACATTTTATGAGCGTTAAGAGAGACTCAATATAATCAGCAGTTTTCGATTGGCTTGCAGTGTCTCACGAACTTTCTATAAGCTTTTGATAAGACTTACAAGAGAGTATGTACCAATAGACAGAAATAGATTTTTAGGCCATGTTAGATTCATGCATTTGTCGGAGAAAAAAATATTCACGCCCTGGGTCCTTGACAGCATAAGGCACGAATGTCATGTCTCTTTCAAGTGCTAACCTTTTCTCCGCCCCTGACCCTCTGCAAAAGAATCCCCGTATAATCCCCCCCCCCCCACACCAATTCCCAAAATTAAGTAAAGGGAAAATCCAAGGTACCTTTTCAAATGGACGTGTTAATCGTGACACTGACGGCTCACCTGAATTTCATTAGTTAAGGGCGGCCAATATCCAATCGGGAATCAAATGTCTTTACATTTTTAACCTTAAATGTACGTAGATGAGCAAGGCTTACAATGGATCCTATTCTAGAAAAAAAGGTTACTTTAAGAAGATTAAATACTATACTTAATCAAATAATTATTAAAAAAACTTTTTTTAAAATTACCTGAATAATTACTTTCTGTAAAACAAAGGCAACCATAGAGAAAGCTCGCCAAATACTTGTATACCAAGATGCTTCCATTCGGTGGACGTCAGACATCGTCAAAGTTTTAAACAGGACAAGAACGTTCGGTCTGCAGTATCACAGAGACGACTTCTTTTCCAGAATTTCATTGCATACAATGAGAGAGGTTAGAAAACTAGGATTTTTAAATTTCATATTTGTATTGTTTCTATGTTTCACTGTTTGAGTTTTTATTGTTCCCATGTTTGAGGTTTGTTTGTTTAGCAAATTCTTTTCGACAATTATTTAGAAGGCTACTAGATATCTGAAATATTTTATATAAAACTTAACTTATAAAAGATAACCATTTAGGAGTCAAAACTTGATTTGTTGTTTGAATTTACTTTTTTAAAAAAACCTCCGAGAGTGTAACTTTTTAAGATCTAGCAACTAGCCATTTAACTGAGCTCTTTCTCTTCAAGATGTTTGATTATTTCGGAGAGAGTCCGTGTGCATTTTCTCCATTCCCTGAAATCGGAGCCAACAACGGCATGTACAAGAACGATCCGTTTGTCATACACGCCGTCTTAGAACCGTGGGCCCGTTGTGCACTGGAACCATCATGCATGTGTCCTGTTCCACCTGCAACAGTAATAAGCTGTAATAAACCTGTTATTGAACACAGGTGTCACAGGTGATTGTCGAACCGGTGAATCTGTTGTGTTGTAATTATCCCCTCATGGCAATTAGTGTCTACTTGTCTGGCCAAGTCTCTCACTTGATCTCACGAACAGTATAGCTAATATCAACAGTTAATAATACAACCAATTTAACAAGTTTGTGGCTAGATAGGAGTTTATTTAACACTACTCCATTAACTATAGTTGATGCATAATTTCATAATTGATAATCAAATCACTCCAACCAAACACTACTCAATATAGAAGTCCAAACAGTTAATCCAGTATATCTGCCATCAATCTTCCATCACAACAACGACAAAAACTAACGCGTCATATCCCCTTACACAATTACGTCACAACACTCTCAAAACTCTAACTAAACATCTTTTCCCTATCAAACATGAAAACAATGATCTACAAATAACAACAGTGATTCTCATACCCTTGACAGTGATAAAAGATTAATTATGTAAAGTAAAAACATATAAACAGGCGGAGAGATTTCATTGTATATTGAATTAATGTCTCGCTCACAAAGGCCGAGGTAAAGACACGTATGGAATAATATTTCTTAAAGAAAAAGTTATTATCAGGTTCAAAATTCGTTGACTCAAAAACAAGATGTAGAAATTATAGTATAAAAATCGTCTATTTTTCCTAATTTTCTGGTAAAATAGCTTCTAATTTTAGTCAAAATTTATCTCATTCCGCATTAAATGATTCAATGAATCACGTTTATTTCAAATTATTCTGGTTGCCCTGCCTAGTCGGGTGTTTTTAGATCCACAGTTTATCTAAAAATATAAATATTTGAAATGCATTTATTTTTATATTATTTTCTTCTCTACGATATTGATTTAAAAGAGATTAATTATGAAAGATTTCTATTTTAAAAGTAATTTTTTATTTTACACAAATTTACCAAATATACCATGAACATTTGTTTCCTCTATTTGACTCCTGCAAATAAATGAATGGATTTTTTTTTTTTTTGGGTCGTTCATTGATTAAATTATTGTCTTTGCAATATAAAGAAGAATGCGTATAGAATGCATTTACTTTTGTAATTTTGTCCCCTTATTTTTTCCTTCGAATAGGTTCGATCAATCGGCCATGGGAATGATAACAGCAAAACTTTTTAACAAAGATATTCACAGGATTCTTGGACCTAGCTACCACTATATAGATGTAAGACGTGAACATAAAATGAAAGACTACTTCGGATCCTTAAAAAACCTTCAAGTGTTTGCCAATCAAACAAACAGACCAAATTCAGTAGTGTAGGCATTTCTTTTTACTTAATGTCATAGAAATTGTCCTTACATGCAAGGTTTCATTTTTACCAAAATCAAGGCATTTTGTTCTATTTTAATGTTTTTTAAATCCTATATTCTACCTATCAACCTACCTACCTACCAATCTAACTACAAATCTACCCATCTACCCATCTGCCCACCCAACCACCCACCCACCCACCCATCCTTCCATCCATCCTTCCTTCCTTCCTTCCATCCATCCATCCATCCATCCATCCATCCATCCATCCATCCATCCATCCATCCATCCATCCATCCATCCATCCATCCATCCATCCATCCATCCATCCATCGATCCATCCATCCATCCATCCATCCATCCATCCATCCATCCATCCATCCATCCATCCATCCATCCATCCATCCATCCATCCATCCATCCATCCATCCATCCATCCATCTATCTATCTATCTATCTATCTATCTATCTAATCTATCTATCTATCTATCTATTAAGATAGATAGATAGATAGATTAGATAGATAGATTAATTTTCAATCCCCCTCGCCACTTGTTGTCAGGTTGAATTTTGGCGCAGTTGGAGGAACCTGCATATATAAGTCTTGCTGATGGAGGTTAAATGACGTGTTTAAGATGGCATAATAAAATATTATTTTTTTTTTTTTACATTTGATTTTAATTTATGTCTAATTTTGTAAAAAAAAAGTTTTTAAATATTTCATTTAAAAATTGTCTTGCTGTGTGATAGTTTTTAATAATTTTTTTTTTTGGGTTTTTAATAAGTTAATTTGTTTTTCAATTAATAAATCTCTTGTAATGTGATAATCAAGCATACATTTTTTATGAGTGATCTTGTTGTTGGATAATTTAATATGAATTTATAATAAGTGGTTTTGTTGGGTAATAACTGAATTTTATTTATTGAGGGGTTCTCAAAATTTTTATTTATTTTGAAATGTTTCTAAAATAGAGATTAGACTAATTAAATTTTGTATTATATTAAAGTATTTTAATGTCAGATTAAGCTTTTTTTTTTCACCCTTGGTTTTGAGTTTCACTAATGATTTCATAATGGGTGTTTTTAATTTATATTTTTAAATATTGTTTGAAATAATTGTGAAACAAATTGTAAATTTGTTTTATTAATTTTTAAAAAAATTTGTTTTATACACAACAGAAACATATAGGACACCAAGAACGAAAAAAAAAAAGGAGGTTTAATACATTTGAAATCGGCTTATTTACATTTGGAATGATATGTCCAATGCAATCATAGTTATTTAAGAACATGATCGAAATTTGTAATAATATTTATATGTATACATTATCAAGATTTACAATCCATGGAAACGTACTGAAGAAACAAAAAAAGTAAGTATATGCTATGTACACGTTCAGAAGTCGTCAAGTCGACAAATAAGTAATGCAGCTGATGTTGTATGGTGGTCCATGTGTCCTAGAGGTTTCAAATTTTAATTAAATAGTTAAAGGATTGGGGGGGGGGTTGTTAAAACGTTGTCGGGGTGGACCTGTTTTTTTAAATATAAAAATAAGAGAAAAAATTCCTTTCTTGTTATGTATATGTATAAACGGAGGACCCCTGAGTTTCGAAACCTACGCATTGTCCGCCCCAAGCTTGTTGTGATGTGGACGACATGCAGACACTTATTTAAATTTGAATTTTACCATGAAACCGACTTTGAATCCGTGACAACATTCCTCAAACCAGGCACCGACAAGCGTTCTTATATTTCATAACATGAGGGAACTCAGCTCCATGGAAAAAGCTATACCGGAAATTTTACGATGTCAAATTTTTTCGAAACCGTAAGTTCGAAGGAATATTGTTTACCATCATCTATCCGTCAGAAATGGAGCATATATATATAAGTTGCCGATGCATTCTTTCAAATTTTCAGACCTAAACTACAACCCCAACCAACAAACATCAAAAGCCGTTTTTCCTTTTTTTTTAGGGGAAGATAAAAATGAACGTGCCGATATTCCAGATAACTGCGCTAAATGAGATTCTTTTTCTCTTAAAAATAAAAAAGTATCTCAAAGGAGTTTTCTCAAAAATATTTGGTGAAATAAATCTGCGGTGTTGAAAGCGGGTGGGTCATTAGAATATTGATATAGTTCAGGGGAGTGAAAATAATGTGTGTACGCGCCTTGTGGGGGAGGGGAGCACACATTGGGATTCTTATAAAGTTCGTTACTTGAATGAATGTTTTGTTAAATGTTCAGTCATCCCCCCCCTCCCCCCCACCGACCCTTTTAATTATTCGATATGACATTTTGTTTGTGTGTTATGACAAATACGAAACCTTTTCTTTTTAGCGGTTGTTTAATTTTAATAGTAAAGCGATTCCATGAAATAAGCCAAAAGTTTAACTTCAATATATATAACAAAATTAATATATATACCTACATATTGTGTATATTTATTCTTTAATTCCTTTGGTACAACATTCATACGTACCAATATCCGAATACGACTGAAAATAAAATTAAGGAATTTTTGGCAAGGTATTTTTTTTTTTTTGCGTGGTCCTTTTGTGCATGCTACATCGTGTGTTCCAAAGTTTGTGGTTCGGTTGAAGTTGTCAGAAGTACGCTGTCATCCTAACAAGGAGAAGGACCACTAAAGATAAAAAAAAGAAGTTGAAGACCCCCTTCCACCCCTTTAATCCTTTTAGTAATGTTACATTAGATCCCGGCAGGGGGTATGCCACCCACCCTCTCCTAAAAAAAGGGTATGTGATAGTCTAAAGCGTCATGTGTCGTTGCGTCTCTTGTGTCAAAATTGAAAGAACCAACCTTTTAACAGTGCTGGGCAAAGAATATTGTATTCTAAGGTTCGCGCTCGGGAGAAGACTGACGCCAACATTGTTCCTAGTGTCTTGCTATTTTCTGAAGTGCTTCTAAACTCGTGCAATATTTAGTCTCCTTAAGGTTAAAATTTGTTTTTACGAATACCTGGACTCAATAGTTTATATAAAAAAAAAAAAAAAAAAAGTGTTGTCCCGAATATGCGAACTTTTTATTAATTGCACTGGCGGTTGCTAAGACTGGTTACCAAAACAAGTTGACTGACGTATTGTACGGCATAGAATATGTTAGAGGTCGTTGATGGTTGTAAAAGATTATGTCAACCGTTGATGGTGTGCTTGATGAATGATAGAGCAACACATTTTTTTAATGATATTCAGTTTTTTTCTCAAGTTAAGTTTTATCGCGTTCTCAAAATAAGTATATGTAATGTATATGTAAGAAAAATTGAATTAAAATTGAAATGACTGATAAAAATTGCATGAATTGTGATATTTTAATCATAGATGATTTGCCATCCAAGGTTAATGCTTCGCATCTACCACCCCGGGGCATTGAAGCAAGAGTGTGTAAGATTTAATAGCAATTGAAATATAGATTCAGCGTCCGACTGTTTTAACAATGCCACCACCTTTCAGTCATGTGAATTTGCTTAAGGCTAGTAATATTAAAAATGAAAAAGATTATTTAAACATTAAAACACCGATTAAACAAGCTACTTCCGTTTTATTGCTGGTGACAAAACATCACTTCCATAAACGGCTTTTGTAATTTGTGACAAATTTGTAGCATCTCCTTCGTTGATATTTCTCTTATTTCATATCTCCCTCGCCACTCTGGCTTGGCTTCTCGACGCCTTTTCCACTATGGTGACACTACTTTGATACGGCTGACTTGCAACGGTTGTTTTGCGTCCCACGCCGTCTTGCCGTTGACGAGAGGGTGTTTAATATTCTCCACCCAGCTCTCATATGTACTAATGGTTTAAACAAGATCGGAGTACAAAATGTTGATTTGACTACACCGTTAAAATAGATCCCGTTGTGTCAGCAAGCCAAGGACATTACTTTTTAAAAAAACGTGGATAGAAAAAAAAAACGGTTTATTAAGAAAATACAGTTCTACATTAGCCGACGACGCCTCTTCACACATTTTGGAAAATGAATCGTAAGTGCTTTGAATCGCCTTTTAAAATTCTTCGCTGATTTAATGAGATGCAGTGTCGTAGCTAAGGCTAGAGCCACCCGGAAAGGGCGAAATTTAAAAAAAAAAATCTATAGAATGCAAAAAAATGACGCCCCTACATGTAAAGGCAAAACGTACCATTGTAAATTATGTACTCAACTCTATGTACATTAAGCAATACAAACATGAAAACATTGAAAAAGTAATATATTTCTTTTTTTAAACAAAAATTACGAATTCAACGGAAGTATACAAAAAGTGCACGATCATCCATTATTATACTGAAAGCTTTTCTGTTTTCTTTAAATTGCTACTTTTGTAACAAAGTTTCCTGAACAGTGGGTATTTTTTACAAAATAGTTAGCCTACATTTTTTAGATTCCCAATTGAGTTCCTCTTTTCAATATCACAATAATAAACAATCTACCTATTTGCACGCACTTTAAAAAAAAACAACAATGTTTTTAAATGAGAATCCAGTAGACAGCTAAAACAACGTTGATGTGTTGCTGTGTATATTGAAGAGGCAATTTGTAATTTATCTACAGAATTTTATAATATTTTGAAATAATCAAATAATCCGTGCAATAAACTCAAATTTGAGAACTCTTAACTCAATTCTTAAACGATTTCCTTCAGATAAAATAACATTTATATTTATGATGTCATTTGTAAACATATCACGTCTTCTAAATAATAATGATGCCATTCATAAACGATTTATAAAAACGACCAGTAGTAAAAACCCAAACAAATGAGAGATCTTTCTACAAAAATGATGCTAGCACTGCATTCAACGTGTAAAATGATGCTAGCACTGCTTTCTACGTGTAAAATGGTGCTAGCACTGCGTTCAAAGTGTAAAATGATGCTAGCACTGCGTTCAACGAGTAAAATGATGGTAGCTCTGCGTTCAACGAGTAAAATGATGCTAGCACTTCTTTCAACATGTAAAATGATGCTTGCACTGCGTTCAACGTGTAAAATGATGCTAGCACTGCGTTCAACGTGTAAAATGATGCTAGCCTTGCGTTCAACGTGTAAAATGATGCTAGCACTGCGTTCAACGTGTAAAATGATGCTAGCCATGCGTTCAACTTGTAAAATGATGCTAGCACTGCGTTCAACGTGTAAGATGATGCTAGCACTGCGTTCAACTTGTAAAAAGATGCTAGCACTGCGTTCAACGTGTAAAATGATGCTTGCACTGCGTCAACGTGTAAAATAATGCTAGCATTTTGTCCTCCCCCACTTTGAATTCAAATTTTATAGTTAAAACGGTCTAAAATACCCAATGTTCCCTGCAGCCATGGAGGTTGTGAGGGCAAAACGATGGCCCTGTGGTTAAATGACACCTACACTTTTAACTAGCATCTCTTCCGTTGCTCTCCAATTAAGTGCAGAATGTAGCAAAAATAAATTCGAGTGTACGCTAAAATGTATTTCTTGTATTTTGAATTTAACAAAACATTTCTGGGTTCCATAAATTTTGTGTTGTTCTGGGCATCCGTCCTTCGTAATGTGACGATGGTGTAGAGTTCGCGCAGGTCGAAATCCAAAACGTTGGGATTATTCTTTTTAGTATTAAAAACTGGTTTCCTTACATAACAGATGCCTCTCTCCACGCCACTGGAAACCCAAGGGGACATCATATGGATGGCAGTTGTGATGGACGATACAAGCTCCTCTTTTTTTGTGTTGAGTTAGGGGTCCCGAAGGGCTCGGTGCTAGACACCTGTTTGTTCCTAGCGTACATCAATGACTTACCCAAGAAACTGACATCCCAAGCATGACTGTTCGCAGACGACACAGAAGTGTATAGGAAGATCACCAACAGTTTGACCAATACAAGCTACAACAAGATCGGTTAGCTGAGTGGGAGATTAGCTTGGTGATGGAATTTCCTCCTGCCAAGTGCCAGACACTGTTAGTCTCTAGAAGGGGTACTCCTCTACACCACCATTACGAACTGCATGGCCATATACTTGAGTCAGTTTCCTGCGTTAAGTACCGCAGTTTTACTATTCAAAAAGAGGTCCGCTGGGACGATAATATTAACAATAGACGCAACCAGGAAAACAAGACCTAGGGTTCTTCAGGCGAAACCTGAAGATTGGTGAAACCTGAAGATTGACAATTAAAGTGTCAAAAAAAGAGTCTATAAAGCCTTTGTCCGGCCGCTTTTAGATTACGCATCTTCAGTCTAGGACCCATTCACCCAGAAGAGCATTGACAGGTTGGAGGCGGTCCAACGATGGGCAACACGCTTTGCTCTGAACCGCTTCAGGAACACTTCTAGTGTTTGCAGCATTGTGGAAACACTGGGATGGTCACTGTTGGAAGAAGGACAACGATTATCTAGGCTCTTAATAATGTACAAGATAAAATGGGCTGGACCACTGCTCCAGCATTAAAAAGAAACTCGTCACTGTCCCTACTGAACAGCGACGAGGCCATTGACAGGCAGTTCCGGCGCATAAAAGCAAGAACACAGTATAGGAACTGCTCATTCCTGCAAAAGCTAATTAGGGACTAAAACAAGCTTCCAAAAAAGAACATTTGAGGAGAAAACACATAAACATTGGCGTTTATTAAAAAAAGCCTACCAAACTCCATTTTATGCTACGCTCTCTTCAATACTAGGCATAGAAACATTGCTAGTTCCTCTACAAAGGCTGGAGCCAGATTGATCAATTCATTGGACCCTTAATATATAGAAGAAGAACAAGGATGATACAACTTGGCTGCAGTGGCGTCACAGGAGTTGTCGGAATGTGCCAATATTATCCGCCTATGCGACTCCATCTCCGGGTTTTGAATCGAGATTTTCCTTCTCTTGGATGAATTGCCTACCAATGTTAACGAATCCCATTCACCCGGATAGCTGGTAATATGTTTGCTTGATTGGGCTTTGGTGGGGATTGAACTCCAGATCACTAAGGTGAGATGGACTCAGTTCAGACCACTCGGCTACCCAGCATAAGGGGCCTAGGGCAAAAAGTATACACTCCAGAGCGCCACAACTCGAATGAATTTAGTTTATGTTGGGCTGGGGTTGAATTAGAAATATTTTTGAGCATTATTATGGCAACTTTTGGCGCTTCCCATCCGAAAGTCTGAAATGCTCTCTTAAATTATCTAAAACAAAGCCTAAAATTCAAGTATTGGTCAAATGCATCCCTTTACCGGTGATTTTAATTTGCCCAAAAGTCTTAGGCACCCTCAATTTCTGCACTCCCATCCCCTAACGCTGATCAGTGTGACAGTACGGGTTGGCCAAATAATTAATCTGGGTTGCACCACAACTGGAGGAAATTTAGTTTATGCATGGCACTAGATGCCTTAATGCCTCACCAACAGGTCTTAAAAAATTCCTTCCCCGATCAGTAAGATCACTCAAATCAGGTATACTCGAAAATGCACCTCTTGATTTTGAAACAATTAAAAGTTTTCTACAGACCCTTATTATGTACTCCTTTTAACGATACAATCTGCTGTTATCCAAAAATTGCAGCCCTTCAAAATAATTAAAAATTAGCACCTGGGCGTGCCACCACATTCGTCCTCTTTCTACGCCTCTGGCAGAGGGGTATCTAGAGAGTTTGGCGCAAAGGGTCAAGATTCATTTTTACTTCCCCCCTCAAATCTAAAATCCATTATTTTTTATCCATTAAATACCGCAAAACCAATTTTGGCACCCCCGTAAGTCTGGCAAAAACAAAATCCAATACTTGAGCATCAGTCCCCGAGCTTTTCTTTACGAAACACGGCAAATCTCTATGTTTGTGTCTGAATGGCGGTCCCATGTTTGTGTCTGAATGGCGGTCCCTATGTTTGTGTCTGAATGGCGGTCCCTATGTTTGTGTCTGAATGGCGGTCCCCTGGTTGTGTCTGAATGGCGGGCCCTATGGTTGTGTCTGAATGGCGGTCCCTATGTTTGTGTCTTAATGGCGGTCCCTATGTTTGTGTCTGAAGGGCGGTCCCTATGTTTGTGTCTGAATGGCGGTCCCTATGTTTGTGTCTGAATGGCGGTCCCATGTTTGTGTCTGAATGGCGGTTCCCATGTTTGTGTCTGAATGGCGGTCCCATGTTTGTGTCTGAATGGCGGTCCCATGTTTGTGTCTGAATGGCGGTCCCTATGTTTGTGTCTGAATGGCGTTCCCATGTTTGTGTCTGAATGACGGTCCTATGTTTGTGTCTGAATGGCGGTCCCATGTTTTTGTCTGAATGGCGGTCCCATGTTTGTGTCTGAATGGCGGTCCCTATGTTTGTGTCTGAATGGCGGTCCCATGTTTGTGTCTGAATGGCGGTCCCATGTTTGTGTCTGAATGGCGGTCCCATGTTTGTGTCTGAATTGCAGTCCCACTAGTTCTTAATTCGCTTTGAAATGTTATCAGCGCATTTTGTTAAATCGGTTATTCAAGTCACTCTAAAAAAAGATAAATCCAATGATCCGCAATAACTGGCTGAGTACCTAATGTCAGCTTGAAAACGTTACGGAAATTGTAATAATTGTTAAATACAAATCCAACCCTAATTAGAAAACCAGTGTAGCTTTTCGAACATGCAACAGAAAATTCTGTAATGGCAAAAAAAAGGACACATTAATTTGATGCCTGTTCCAATTTTTTATGTAAGGCCCTGGGTAGTGTGCCAGTCATCGGTTTTGCTATTTTTAATGAGCGTGTTTGTTGTAGAGATTATTTGTGTACTTCTTGCAATGTGCTTTGTATTAGGGCGTTTTGGGGTGTGCGAAACTTTCAACAAAATGACATTATAAAGGCAAAGCAGGAAAAATGAACGCCATTTGAATATAGTATGACATTTTTGAGAGAATGAGTAAATAATGTGTAGCACCCACGCTACCAATTGTTAGAGAAGAAATGCCTGCCGTTTCTCAAAGTGCACATGACGCATCCTAAAAACGGAATTTTAAAAAAAAAGAAAAAAAAGATCCATCCTGAGTAGACTCTGTGACCCAATGTGCTCCCCTTTTGCTTTTCCTAGATGGGGATTTTGGTTGGACCACAGATCTGAAGAAAGCTGTTCGTTAAGATTGCGTCCATGGCTCAATGGTATTCATACCTTTTTGGCATTCACGATGGAAACTTTCACCAGTTCTTCAAAGTAGGAAAACGGACTCACCAATTTATTGTTAATGCTTATTGCAAGACTGAGGCACTGTGTTTTGAATTGGTTCCGGAAAAAGTCAAAGCCAATGAGAGCTGCAGACTAATATGTCCCTCACCGATTTTTAACAACCATATTTTAGAATGTTAAAATATATTATAGGCCTGGAAAGAAAGTTATATTACCTTAAAACTTCATATGGAGTCCAACAAATATGGCTCTAGGCAATCAATTTCCGAAAAAAATGTATAAAGTAAAGTTTCAAATGTTCATCCAAGGGCCAAGAAGGGCTTTCGACAAAATCATGGAAGCATTGAAAACCCTAGCTTACTCAAATGCTAATTCTTTATTCATAGACCTGGTGGAAGTGGTAAGGTAAGAACTTCTTTTACAACGCATGCAGGAAATATGAGCGTAGAAACAATTAATTAGTCATGCGTAGCATAAACTTTGCTTGAGGGAAGCAGAACTTTCCACAGTCGTTTCCAACAGTCTATTCTATGAAACATCAAACTTTAATAAGAAGGGAAAAAAACTGGACAAAGGAAAAGTGATAGTATGAGATAAAGCTTCAATGGTCCCACCACGCGGAGTGAATGCAGTTGACACACTACACAAATATCTCTCTTAGCTCAAGATCCAAAAGTTCCTTCTAAAAAATCTTTGGAGGTGCGGTCCTTCTTTTCGGTGAAATTTTAGCATAATTTTCCTTGTTTTTTCACACACATGGCAGCCGATCCGAAATAATTTCTTCATGCATGAGGAATAGTAAGTTTTGGAAAACTTAGCCAATATACCAGGCTTTGCACGGGAGTGCATTAGGGCCCCGATCCTGGTAACGCCCCAATCCAAATGGGACCCCAAAGCCAATGGGACCCCCAATGCCAATGGGACCCCGATCCCATTTTGACCCCGATCCTGACGCAATCCCTTTTCCCTGTGTTATCCCGAACCCGGTGGGAACCCATTTCTTGTGTCTCCGGATCCAAGGGGAATCCAGATCCCGGTGGGATCTCGATCTCGGTTTGATCCCATTACCCGATGGGATCGCGTTACCAATGGGTTCCGGCTTACTATTGGATCTCGTTCCCCATTAGGATCTTATTACTCTATGGGATCATGCTCAGTGCGATTTTGTTAGAATACTCTTTTAGATCCCTTTATATATCCCTGTAGAACAATATAGAGCCTTCCTTAACATTGTAGATTCAATATAATATCCTCCATGAAACCTGTAAAAAAATTACTTTTCTATGTAAATATTTTTGAAATACTAAATATTATTCAACTAAATTTTACTACTATAACTATAGTGTATTTTAATTAAATTAGGGGCCACAGTTAGGGCCCATTTAAGGAAGTACCGTTTTAGCTATGTCTGAGATGGGCGAGTGCATATACAAATCATTCAGATAAATTATGGAGTTAAAATTTAGAATTTGTCCCATAAAAATCGGTTTAAAAAAGTTATTGAACTTTCTAGAAAATTATAGATCGGTTCTGAATGGATTGGATTGTATTAGTTTTAAATCCACATTTAAAAAAAAAAAATATTAATGAGACAGGCCTAATGACTGTTGTAATATGAAATTCAATTTCGTCGTGGGACAGATACAATACTCACTCATTATATTCATTGTGTTACATCAGAATAGAAGCTTAAAAAGGGGTATTACACATTTTATTATAATTATGAATCTTTATTTTCTATTCATCAGGTTTCCAGTGCATGTTGGTTTTGATAGCACTGTGTGTGCTTTTAATTCTTATTTACTCTTCAAGAAACTCAAATATAATTAATGTTCTGTACTTTCAATCGAAAGGTGAGTACCTCCTCCCTGCCTCCTGTATTTCCCAACATTAATCATCTAATTTAACCCAACAGTGCAGCATAATCTGCAGTGTCCTTGCCTTACCCTAGGCCAGACCAAGACGCTCTTCCCACAAAGCTCTCAAACTAAAAATATCTCCATTTTCCCCGCGCCATCACAAAATGCAGACTTTCCCCAACTCATCCACTATCCGTCCAAAGTTATCCAAAAAACCACTTGGAACCATTATTTCTTCTTATACTTTTATAAATAATGATATCACACGATTTTGTTTTTTTCATTACAGTTGATGCATTCTTGCATTTTAGTCAGCTTATAAATAAAACTTCTTTTTAAACAGTTGTTAAAAAAAGCATGGCATGAATTGATTTTCTTTCCAACTCAAATCATCAAATTCATGCGTGTAAAGAAAGCGTAGGCGGAACACCCCGTCTCGACCCCACCCACCCCCACCCCACCCCCAAAAGAAACCAACCTGTGCGAGTAAGTCAAATAGGCAGAATATCCATCAAGCAACGCATTTTTATTTTGCAAGGAAAACAGCATAACGGAAGGGCAAATTTAACCAGAGGACAAGGTTACCCTGCGAGAAGTGCTGCCAAGACTGTCGTTTCAAGAAGGGCCTCGTATGCCGTAAAATATTTTGTTCATAGCTACGCAATCGCCTCGCAAAGACGGAAAGGAGGCCATGCATAAATAAAGGTTTTCTGAGTCCCTAATCTCTTGCAGTGCCCGTAGCAGGGTGCTTTTTGTATCACTGATCGCAACCGTCTTTGCCTCGGATCATGTTACCACCTCGATCTCTGCCCCTTTTCATCTTGGGCTCAGTTTCCTTTGCTACAGTAATGGCAACAGTCCCCCCCAAAGCGATGGTTATTTTCTCTTTGGCCTCGACGTTTGCAACTGATGTAAGGTTCAGGTTGGTTTAAAAAAGCCTTGACATAATTTTGCTTTTAGCTATTTAAGGTTGGCGTTTCTTCCGTGGGGCGCGTACCCTCAGTTTGCCTCAAATGAAGTCAAGTTGCTCTTATCAGCCATATTGTAGTCTAGAGCGAATGGTGGGTGTGTGTTGGGAAGTTTCCAAGAGCTTCATATGACACACACAGGCCTGATCAGCTGAACCCCCAGCAAAAGAAAAAAAAAGGAATCAAAATGAACACAGATAGGATATTGGCTCATCTAAATAAAGTTAACTCCGACCACTAGGCCTGATTACCTTCGACCGCTAGGCCTGATTACCTTCGACAACTAGGCCTGATTACCTTCGACCACTAGGCCCGATTACCTTCGACAACTAGGCCCAATTATCTTCGACCACTAGGCCCGATTACCTTCAGGCCAAGCTGCACCAAACCTTAACTTTAGCAAAGATAGAGAGAGAGAGGGTTGTTCACCTACTAAAAATGACGTCTTATCCATAAAAACACATTTTATTTGACGTCGTAGATTCGTAAGACACCGCGCCATAGATTCTAAGGAAAAGGCGGCACTTAAACATTCTCTTATTCGTTGTGTGTTTGAAATGTTTACAGGTCCCCCCCCCCCCCCCCCCAAAAAAAAAAAAAAAGGACAGTACGGATCTTAATGAAATTCATACCATTCTACTAAATATTTTGCAGATGAAAACACTTCAACATCAACGCCATTGGAACGTCCAATAAACGGGTCTAATTGGACGTTGACAGAGTTTATAAACCATTTTAAGACGCTGTTGGAACATCCCAGCGATTCTCCTGTACAACGTTTTACAAATGCTTGTGGTGGTGGTGCAGGAGGTAACAGTCTGTCCCAAAAGGCAAATTAAAACCGAATGAAGACGTCTATGAGTTTGAATTAAACATCTTTTCACATTTAAATACATTTTTATTATATGCTCATGTTAGGATTTAATCAGGTTTAAAAAAACAATATTTTAGATGTGAGTGTGTGTGTTTGTATGATTGCCTGGGGAGATATTTGCAAAATTAAAAAGAAAAGGAAATATATCATCTAAACATCGAAATCAAGAACAACTATATATAATACTAGCTATGACTACTATGAGAAATGACAAAAATTAAGAAAAAAAACATTTTTGAGATATGAGGAAATGATCTGAATGATCCTCAAGAATAAAGACAAATAAATGTTGTTTTTTTATGACCGACAGCTTTTAAATATTTTCAATAAGCGCAGCACAATATTGAGAGAAGCTTGGTGATGATTTTATTTACCAGCGTGTACTCCCAACTGTTCACGGCCACTGAGTAACTCGAGTGATGAGAGACTCACAGATATCCTCTTGTCTCCCAACCTGACATTGTCAAACCAGCAGAGAGACTCCATCTTGTCCATGGCAGATTCCATCCCAGAGAATGACATCATCTTCCTGTCAGCCAGCTCCTCCAACCATTATGACGAAATGCAGGCCATGTTTCACAATCTGCACACCGTTGTCTTTCCCATATTGCGTAATATTACTGTGGTCTTATTTGACATTGGACTCACACAAGAGCAACGGAAAAAGGTAAATAACACGCTGTCTTCATTAAATTAGTTTTCCATTTTCTCAACAACGATAAAGTCAATGCCCAGAATTTATATTTGAAATTAAAATTGTGATGAAGTATAAAAAATATCTTAAATGTTTGAATTTAAATAAAATTCAAAATTACAATATAATGGGTTTTTAACTGATCGCTAGCCCCCCCCCCCTTCCCCTTAAACGAAACAGCTGTCTGAATAAATCAAGCCTAATATAATATATATATATATATATATGGTTTTTTTTTAAGACCGAGAAACATTGCCGATGCCACGTGGTGACGTTTCCGGTAGAGAAATTTCCTCCTCACATGAAGGATAACATGTGCTACACATGGAAACCTTTAATTGTTCGGGTAAGCATACTAATCAATAAGAGGAGTAAAAGGATAGAAATGACGAGTCATTATTTAGACTAAATCTAGTGGGAATAATAACAATAATACGTATTACTTTTATTGACAGTGATTCCCTCGCTTTGTAATGTTGCAATTTATTCAAATGGTCAGAAAAGCCGTCTTTAGTTTTGTGTGGCCAAGATTGGGGATGCTATCGTATCATTCACTGAATAATTAAAAAAAAAATAATAAAAATAAAACAACAGGAAGAATGTCTCATAAACTACTTTGCTAGTGTGACCTTGAGTTGTTGAAAGGTAATCGGTGGGCTTCTTGGCAACCGGATACGCCCAGATAATTTCATTTAATCGCATTCCATTTGAAAACACTGAGCACGATTTTGACGATATGCTTGTCAGAAATGTTTCTGCCAGTGCAGATCGACCAATAACATTCAAAACCTCTCCAGCACCGAAATGCCAAGTGGATAAAAAGCTTTTTTAAAAAAAAAATGTTTCTTCTGGAAAAGACAGAGCTGTAAAATTATTTGTCCTTTTGTTCCATAAACTTTTACTTTAAGATTTTGATAAACTGTGGAATTAAATGAATACTTGTTAAGTTGTATGTCTTTATAGAACCAAATACCTTAAAAATGGTACTTTTAATAGCAGTGCCTAAACATTTTCTGTAATAGTTTAATTTATTACATAAAACATATAGTTATGTTTATTAATTAATTTTTTTAATTTAAAAAAATATTTTGAAAATAAACTTCTTAGGACCTAGCGTAGCACATGCTGTTTTATTGGGATATCAGCATGGTTAACTATTTCACTTCTGTCTCGTGCTTCAGGATGCCGGCTTGTATAATGTAATACTTCTTATACTTCAGTCTTTCACTCCTAAACTCTATCAGTCTGTCACACAAGAAGTAGATATCACTTTACAGTTAAATTCACAGTACTTTATTATATCACTTTTCTACAACAATAATAATAAGAATCCTTGCACACATATCCAGGTAATATAATCCAGAATGCAATTATTTCACGCATTTATAAATTATATAATACTCCGTGGTATGATAGAAAATTCACATGACAGAAAATCAACCACGTCTTCACTTCTCTTCGACATGAGAGGGACTACCTGATCACTCAAAAACGTGCGGCTCACTTCCGCTTTACAAAAAAATAATTCTTTCTCTTTTACCGTGAAAAAATACACGTTAACATAGTTCAATATTCAAATTATGCCACCTCCCTGACTCAATGGTTTCGTGTGCAAACATGGTCTGTTACACCTAGTCTAATCTATCTCTAACACACAGGCAACCATGGAGAAAGCGCGTCAAATTCTGGTTTACCAAGATGCTTCCATCCGATGGTCTCCAGAAATGCACAGAGTTTTGAATTTGACGAAAACATTCGGTTTACAATATCACAGAAATGATGATCTCTCCAGAATTCCAGTGCATACCATTAGACAGGTTACACAACTAGGATTAAATATCTATTTATATTGTTATGTTGGTTTAATATTTTTAGTTTGTTTTTGTTTTTTCGCATGGTCACAGCGTATGTCATTGCCTGTTCCAGCTTTCAATTGTGTTGTGTTGTTTTGTTTATGACGCTGCATAATTTTTAGATCCTTAAGAAAATATAATTTAAAATTTTGTATTAGATCGTAATGTTGATTATGTTTTGATGCCATTGGAAATAACTTGATCAGCTGTCCTGTATCAATAGATAAACTTCAGAATGATAGTATGTTGACTGTTTCTTTAAAAAAAACTAACCATTTAACATTGTAAAAAAATAACTAATTTTCTAGACGTTCGATTACTTTGGAGAAAGTCCGTGTGCATTTGGCCAATTCCCCGAACTCGAAGCTAACAATGGAATGTTTAAAAGGGACCAATTTGTCATACACGCTGTCCTGGAACCATGGGCCCGTTGTGCATTGGAACCATCATGTATGTGTCCAGTCGCACCTAATACAGTTCTAGATTGCAGAAGACCCATTGCTGACCACAGGTGTCACAGGTGCTAAATAAAGCGAAATAGTTCTATCTTTATGGATTAAATCGAATTCTTAAAAAAGAAATTATACACATTTTTCAAATTCTTTCATTAAGAATATTCTTTCCTTACAGTACAATGGTTAAAATTTATATTTAGTACAATTGGTTATTTTTTGTAATATATTTAAACTGTATTCTTATGTATTATATCAGTGACGCACTTTGATTTCCAATTATTTAGCATATTGTAGTACATATGCGCAAATTTAGACATACATGTATGCGAAAAATCATTCCTTTTAACAAAAAAATATGTATAACCTTTCTCGCGCTGATTTTAGATAGTTAAATTAGTTCCATTAAAATAGTTATTTCTACTTTCCATTAAGTAACTTATTTTTTTTATATATAAGTTCAGGTCCCGGTTCAAATTATCTCATGGGAATATTTTGTTGTTGTTCATGACAAAATTATGTTATTTAAGTAAAAATAAATATTTTATTATATAAATATAATTATATAAAGATTTAAATTGAAAATGCTTTCTTCATTAATGTGATTTTTTTTTTCTGTCTTACTCGTAGATTCGATCAATCGGCTATTGGAATGATAACAGCAAAACTATTTAACAAAGACATACACAGAATTCTGGCACCAAAGTACTATTATCTTGATATAAAACGTGAACATAAGATGAAAGACTATTTTAATTCCTTGGAACAAGCCTAAAATTTAATCAATCAAAACAATACTTCAAAAAATAAAACAGTGTAATTATTTTTACTTTATTTGACACTAGCAAATATACCCTTACTACATTAGCATTCTTTACTTCACTTGACCTTCCGTTCTTCTTTACTTTCTTGTTTCTTCTGGGTTTTGAGCCCACTCTTATTATTTTCTTTTTGTTATGTAGGATACATGTATATATATATATATATATATATATATATAATATATATATATATATATATATATATATATATATATATATATATNTACCAACCATCTGGTAGTGTTAGTGACAGTGTTACATAGAGAGTTATAGTTTTGTTCAAATCACTTCCTTTCCACTTTTCTTTATTTTGTTTCCTTTTTTAGGTAGGATATCTGTGTGTGTATATATATATATATATTGTGTAAATTTAAGTTAAACTTGCTTAAATGTTTTGAATTTTTGTACTGATGAAGGTATTTGCACAGACGGTAACTTTTGTATTTTGTAAAATCATCATTAAAGATAAACACATCTTGTTTTATTGACCAGGAATGTTTGTTTGTAATTGATCTTCAACAATGGGGGTGTTGGGGGGTCCTTTAATTGATTATCTTTTACAATGTATGCATTTGTAATTTCGTGCATATTATTATCTCCAATAAACTGAGAGTGTGATAGACAATAAAAAAAAAAAGGGGGAAACATCTAACTATAGTAGGAAACATTTGAAAGTGCGGGAGGCTTATTGGTTTATTGGAGGTCTCAAGTCGTCTTTACTTTTATTTTGAATTGATGGCACACCCAATGTTTCGTCTCCTGTCAGATGTTTCCATTATGGACTACTTTTTTTTACCAGAATCTACCGTTTACTGTGAGATGTTTCCATTATGGACTACTTTTTTACAAGAATCTACCGTTTACTGTCAGATGTTACCATTATGGACTACTTTTTTTTACCAGAATCTACCGTTTACTGTGAGATGTTACCATTATGGATTACTTTTTTACCAGAATCTACCGTTTACTGTGAGATGTTTCCATTATGGAATACTTTTTTACCAGAATCTACCGTTTACTGTGAGATGTTACCATTATGGACAACTTTTGTTACCAGAAACTACCGTTTAATGTGAGATGTTACCATTATGGACAACTTTTGTTACCAGAATCTACCGTTTACTGTGAGATGTTACCATTATGGACTAATTTTTTTACGAGAATCTACCGTTTACTGTGAGATGTTACCATTATGGACAACTTTTTTTACCAGAATCTACCTTTTACTGTGAGATGTTACCATTATGGACTACTTTTATATACCAGAATCTACCCTTTACTGTGAGATTTACCATTACGGACTACTTTTTTTACCAGAATCTACCGTTGACTGTGAGATGTTACCATTATGGACTACTTTTTTTTACCAGAATCTACCGTTTACTGTGAGATGTTACCATTATGGACTACTTTTTTTTTACCAGAATCTACCATTTACTGTAAGATGTTACCATTATGGACTTTTTTTTTTTACCAGAATCTACCATTTACTGTGAGATGTTACCATTATGGACTACTTTTTACCAGAATCAACGTTTACTGTGAGATGTTTCCATTATGGACTACATTTTTTTACCAGAATCTACCGTTTACTGTGAGATGTTACCATTATGGATTTCTTTTTACCAGAATCTACCGTTTACTGTGAGATGTTACCATTATGAACTACTATTTTTTACCAGAATCTACCGTTTACTGTGAGATGTTACCATTATGGACTACTTTTTTTTACCAGAATCTACCGTTTACTCTGAGATGTTACCATTATGGACTACTTTTTTTACCAGAAACTACCGTTTAATGTGAGATGTTACCATTATGGACAACTTTTGTTACCAGAATCTACCGTTTACTGTGAGATGTTACCATTATGGACTACTTTTTTACCAGAATCTACCATTTACTGCGAGATGTTACCATTATGGACTAATTTTTTTACGAGAATCTACCGTTTACTGTGAGATGTTACCATTATGGACAACTTTTTTTTACCAGAATCTACCTTTTACTGTGAGATGTTACCATTATGGACTACTTTTATATACCAGAATCTACCGTTTACTGTGAGATTTACCATTATGGACTACTTTTTTTTACCAGAATCTACCGTTGACTGTGAGATGTTACCATTATGGACTACTTTTTTTTATCAGAATCTACCGTTTACTGTGAGATGTTACCATTATGGACTACTTTTTTTTTTACCAGAATCTACCATTTACTGTAAGATGTTACCATTATGGACTACTTTTTTTACCAGAATCTACCATTTACTGTGAGATGTTACCATTATGGACTACTTTTTACCAGAATCTACCGTTTACTGTGAGATGTTTCCATTATGGACTACATTTTTTACCAGAATCTACCGTTTACTGTGAGATGTTACCATTATGGATTTCTTTTTACCAGAATCTACCGTTTACTGTGAGATGTTACCATTATGAACTACTATTTTTTACCAGAATCTACCGTTTACTGTGAGATGTTACCATTATGGACTACTTTTTTTACCAGAATCTACCGTTTACTCTGAGATGTTACCATTATGGACTACTTTTTTTACCAGAATCTACCGTTTACTGTGAGATTTTACCATTATGGACTACTTTTTTTTACCAGAATCTACCTTTTACTGTGAGATGTTACCATTATGGACTACTCTTTTTGGATTTTTTGGAGTCATTTTGGATGTGTATTTTCTTTGCTTTTCTAAGCTTTTTAAAGTAGAAGCCTTATCGTTCGATACTTTTCTTTATGTTTATTGGGGCTTTTAGTGGTAACTAGACATAAGAGTCGGTTTTAATAAAATGGTCTTGATTTGAGTAGTTATCAAGCTTGGGTTAGGTTTTACTAGACATAAGAACAGCCGTTTTCTTGTTTGGAAATACTTTTCTTGTAGTTTGGTAAGATAACGTAAGTTAGTTGAGGTATTTTATATTTCAATGTAATTTTACTGTGTCCGTCACGCTAACAAAATTTGTTTGACCATCATTGAAAAGCACAACCATTAAAGGGAACCGTGGTCGAAGTGAGATCTATATTTATTTTTTTTTGGACCATAATTTTTTTTCACCTGTCGTGTTAGAGAAATATGCGATGCACAATCCCAAGGGCGAATGGAATTTTTTACCTGTTCTAACCGCTCATTAACCTCTTATCTTAACGAGCTTGCCCCTTTTGGGAACGCAAGAGTTTATAATTAATGATGTTTTCCAATGACAATGGTTTTAAAAATGTTAGATTATAGGTTTATGGTGTTTTATTTAGTCATAAAAACTAATATTTCTTGTAGAATGTATTTATATAGAGGGTCTATCCATCTAGGATTATGAATCACTAACATAGGGGTGAGTTTTCGTAGTCTAATATTTTTCATTATTTTATTTAATATGAATGAGTTTTTTTGTTGTGAGTGTGTCATAGGGTAATTAGTATTCTTGTTATGGGATATTTTTATCTATTTAAAGTTGCTCTCAATAAGTGAGGTCTAATAGTCACACAAAGTGTGTTGTTTCAATTTTTTTCTAATAATTTTTAATTAACTGGACTGTTACGCACTGGCTTCTAATATGAGAAATTAATCTCCTATTTTAATTTTTTGGCTCCTTGTGAAATGTGCCTAACAAAGGACAATAACATAGGGTCAACAATATTAAAAATACGACACCCAAAACAGTTGCTAGCCACAATTAATAAGATTTATTAAGTATTAATTTAATTACAAAACAAAAGAAATCATAGAATGCATTATATCTCCATCATTGAGATTGTACTGACTCGAAAAATTATTTTTTTCCAAGAAAAGCAAATATTTATTCTGTGTAAAAAGGGAATTTTTCTAAAGGAAATGTCCACAAATGACATCGGTTGATTTTTTCAGTCTTTAAGTACTTTTTTTTTGCACTGCACATTCAAATTTATTTGATTTCCGTAAAATAATAGAAAATAACTATGATCGTTTTTAAGAGTCCGAACGTATTTAAATCTTTTCAGTTCTTTGGTGTGACGGTTTGCTAAATATATATATATACATATATATATAATATATATATATATATATATATATATATATATATATATATATATATATATATATATATATATATATATATATTTAATTAAAGCATGTTTTCCCATTCGGATAAAATGCTTAAAATAGTTCCGTTATTGTTATTTTAAAATTTATTAGTAATTTATGATTTTACTAATTAAACTATTACTAAAATAAAAGTGGAAATACTTAATTTTTCGCGTTGTTTAATTGATTCGATTTCCGTAAAATAAGAGAAAATTGTTTTAAAAATCTAAACGTATTTAAATTAAATTATTAAAGACCTCAAGGGAAAAAACGGCACAGTCCATTTTTTAATTTTTTTGAGTTATCACCCATGACTAATAGCCAGTTAAAAATAGATGGTGCTGAATTAAGTTTATAGGAGAAAAAATGGCTAAGTACATAAGAAAAATGTAAACGAGAAATCTGTTTACAATTGGAAAAAGGAGCATAGTCCAATGTTTACAATGGAAAAGGGGTCTAAGTCACTAATATCTATTTCGCTGTCACTCTAGTCTATCACTGTTTTTCGCATGTCTGTGTCTCTCCCTGTCAGCCTATCTCAAACCAATAAAACACAGGGAACAAGTAACACACAGGTAATTAGTAACATAGAGGCAACCATGGAGTATGCTCTTCAGATACTTGTATATCAAGATCCCCAGATATTTAATGTTTCCACCTGTAGGCGCTAGGATTACAAGATTACTTAGTTTTTCCACCTTTAGTTACTAGTTTCACCAAATATTTAATGTTTCAACTTTCAGTTCTTAGTTTCACAAGTTAGTGTTTCCATCTTTAGTTAAAATTTTCATCAGCTATTTAGTGTTCCCACCTTTAGTTGCTAGTTTCACAAGTTTTTAGTGTTTTCACCTTTGGTTATTATTTTCACAAGATATTTAGTGTTTCCACCATAAGTTAATAATTTCACACGATATTTAATGTTTCCACCTTCAGTTGCTAGTTTCACAATATATATAGTGTTTCCACCTTTGATTGCTAGTTTCAAAATATATTTAGTGTTTCCACATTTGGTTCTTCTTCTTCTTCTTTATTTTAAGGGCCCACGATCAATGAATTGATCA